AATAGCATATGCATGATAAGCTTGACAGAGCTTTACAGTTCAGTTCAGGCTGTAAGGTGCATATAAAACCAGTTATTGTTACGTTTTTATATTACGTTAGATTTTTTGCATTAAACATAAAACCGTTCACATCTAAGCCAAAAACAAATCACTAAATATGTTCTGAGCAAAATGTCATTTTTGTGTGTTAAAGGTAACATTGCTATCTTTATAACTGCAAATAGCATTTTCTGTAATTGATATAAACAATTTACTAATTCATTCCGTTAATAATAATTCTATATTTAAAGAAACTTCTACTAATTTTTTGTAGTAACTGTTTATAATAATTGCTGAAAAGTGCTTTTTCTTCTATTTGCTTATATCATTATCGCATTTAATTTGAGAATAATACAGTGAAGGAAATAAATGTGGCGGTAAATTGTCTTTTGTGGAACGAAAAGATTAAAGGAATGAACCTCTTGCTTCGACTTTTCTCTGATACACAAGTTAAAGAAAATCCTCATTTACAGAATCTTAGTTATGTAAACACTCCTACAATTGAATATAAATTTAAGATTATTTGCTTAATCGTCGTACATCAGAGTCTAAGCCTGTAGGGTCATTAAATTTGTTGAAGGAGAAACAGGAGAAACATGCAATGTCTTACGGAGATTCGGATACTTGACCACCATTTGCCTGTCAGGCATGCTTCCAATTATACCCGCCACAAAGGTATGAGTTAAGGAATGTGAAAAGTACCTTACAAGCTATCATTTAGTTAAAACTACTGTTTAGTGCTCGCAGATTAAAAGGAAATGTGCCTGGAATATAATGCAATATGCATGAGGAAGTGCTTAATTGAAATTAGTAAAACGACAACGAAGTAAATATTTCTACATATTTTAACATTTTCCTAATTAAAATCTTTTCTTGTTGTCATGACAACAACAACAAAATTTTAAATCAATACCTAGTTTCCGAACCTTTACCCTTAATCAGCAAAACGTCCTACGGCTCAAAATTTGAATATGTCTTTATGCATAAAAGTAAAAGCAATGCATGTTTATGCAACTCTGTAGTCGTGTTAAGCGTTTTGTATATATCTAAATCTTCAGTACAGCATTTGCTTTTGTAATACTGACCGCACTATTTATCATGTTCCATTTGAAAACGTTTGCCATTTATTGAAGATGTAAACGTATGTTTGCATTTATAAAGGTGTAAAATGAGTCCCAAAAGATGTCATTTTTTAAAGAGCAGCAAATCAATGTTATTTTTGGAATATATTTCAAGAAAACATTCAGGTCCCAGTTAGGTTTTTAAAGAAAACACGGTAATATTAGAAATGGAAGCGATGGATAAAGGCTGTGTATCCTTGACAAACGTTTAGGTAGAATATCTACCGAAGGGACACAAAGAATATATCCTAGAGATCACCGGGGACATTTAGAGTTATATTTAGTAATACGTTCCTATTAACGCACGAAATTGATACAGGAGACAATCGGATGTTTAGATCAAAGGCTTACAAGTATTATAAGGTATTTCTCACGCCTTCTTAGTATGCCTTCGTTGTGTAGTGGTCAGCACCCTCGATGCGTATTCGAGTGATCCGAGGTTCGAGTCCCGGCCAGGAAATTGCTCATTTTTAATGTCTCCTGCTTCCAAATAACCTAATGTCTCTACAGGGGCGCCCGAATTAAAAAATGTGGTGTATGATGATTCTTCACTACCAGGTTTTGACTGTTGGGTCCGCTACTCCCCAGTCGCCTTTTAAAAGGTATTTCTGCCACTCTTCTTAGCATGCCTTTGTGATGTAGTAGTCAGCACACTCGGCGCGTATTCGAGAGGTCCGTGGTTCAACTCCCAGCGAGGACATTGCTCATTTTTCACGTCTTCCGCTTCGACATAACCTAATGTCTCTGCAGTATGATGCGGTTAAGGAAGGAATAAACGAGGGAAACTTTAGTGAAGTTTTGGACAATAAGTTTATAATACCTGTGTCAAGTTCGGTAAAGTTACGTAGGAAAAAAATACGTAGGCAAAATGCCTTACAAATTGCGAAGATTTGCAATTGATTACCACACTCAATAAAATCACGAATTACTCCATTTACCAGCTGCCTATTTTTGAGGAAACTTTCCATGCTTCCATGTGTCATTATGCTCATATTAAAGCACTTTTCTGTGAAACTTTGTAGACATTGCAGAACTTCTTGAAGAGAAAATAGGCTAGTTATCTTTCACACACATCGAAACCAATCCGCAACTGAGAATTAAGTACATAGCAACATCCATGGTACCAGCACAACTAAGATTGCTAATATGCAAAAAAACTTTTTTTCTTACCTTTATGTCACATTTTTGGGTTTGCAATCAATAAAGATTGTCACCTAATGAATGAAAATACTCGTTCCTATCCCGCCTGACTATTGTCTGTTTCTTTAATTTTAAGAAATTCCTTTCCGTGGCCCGATTTGACTCGTAACTATGGAACCAACAGGAGCGGAAAGGGAATTTTGAGACGCCTACTTTTTTCCCGTCACTTCTCTCCTTTTATCGTGTTTCGCTTCATGAAAAGCGCATTAAGCTTACCATTGCAAATGGGGTGCTGACAACGGTCTCGAAGTGTCTATTTTAATTAACAGACTGTAGTGACCGACAGTAGAGTTTTATTTATCGGATTTAAATCCAATATATCGCGTGTGGAATATATTAGAATGTCGACTTACATCACTGCAGCTCCCCACCTAGTGACCAAACACGTTTCGTTCTATCTCTACACAGCTGTAGCACCAATGTTTTCCTATTCCACTTTATATAACATTTCCCATGCTGTTACTTAAATTTATTTTTTGCATAAGCAGGCCAATTTAATGATAAAATAAAGATCGTGTACATGTCCCATGATTTAATATTTACCGCCGTTATATTTATTTCCAAAATTTGTGATTTTTTGCCATCTTTTTCATTTTTCTGAGAAGTCGGTTAAAAATATATTGGAGCAATCCAGAATTTATTTTTTTTATTTGCTTTAATGTTAATCAGTGATATTCGTTTATGTTTTAATAAAGTATAGCATTATTACTATTATTATTATTAGTAGTAGTATAGCATTATTTACTATTTCTGCCAAAAACATTTTGTAAAACACAAAAGTCATTTATCAGTTTGCAAGTACTACAAATGCGTAATTAATATTTCCATGCAATTTTAATTCTGTAGAATACTTATCTAAAAATCCTGAGAAAAATCATTAAATTAGAGATAGTCTTTATTTTTATATAATGCAAATAATGTAACGAGTTGGCTATTTTCCAATACTGAAGCCTCCCACTGATTTCCAGAACACAAAATCTGTAGGACTCTTTGAATAAGATCTTCGTATTGAAAGATATCGTATTATCGGCAGTCTTCATAACAATGCAGTCTTTTTATGGCAGGCTTTGTAACAATGATTATCACTCAATCCAGAAACACTAAAAACCTTTTTCTAAACCGGTATTTCAATTTTAATTACCCGTGTTTAAGGACATTCTTTTAATTACGGACAGCAAATGTTTCTCTCTTCAATTTGTGTATAACCCCTGAACATAATTTCATACTTTAAATATTTGTTCATTTTTGTCATGATGCAGTCAAATGTTTAGCGCTTTATTTTCTTTAGAATGAGTAAAAACTTTTACTAAATAGAACTACAGGAAACGGGTGGCTGTATGAAAAGTTAGCATTCGTAATTTTAAACAAAATGTATTTTTTAAAACTTTAAATGTCATAACATAACATATTCGAGGTTCAGACTTGGTGCCTGAAGGTGCAGTTGCTCCTCGCTCCCTATTTTTTGGCTTCGCTGATTTTCTTTGCGTTTTAGTCTATGTGTTAATTGTTTGATCAGATAACCTGCTCAGTAAAAGTAGGCGGCCAGTGTAACTCTGATTCAAAATCCGGTTACGACCACGTGCAGTGCTGATAGCGACCACGTGTTTCTCCGACTCCTTTGCCGATGCTTTAATTTTTTCTTCTTTTTCCTTTAGCTACCTTTAGCGACCTTTAGCTGCCCTCGAAATCGATTGAGTGTTTTAATATATGTACGCAAAATACAAGGTTGTTATTGCGATTTTGATTGACACATTGGCGTGTTTATCTTCTATTCTATGCGTATTTGTATTATTATTAAACATTTTTGTGATTGGAAGTAGATATCTACGATCAAATGTCGGAAAAACATAGCCGCAAGAAAGAATACTGTAGATTTTTGTGCTATTCGAAAAATATCTGTCAGAAAGTTAAAGGCAGGTAGAGAGAACAAACAAGTGGATTTGTAATGGAATATGTGTGAGGAAATTATACCTTGATATGGTATATGACGATGATGAGTAGTTGGTAAAAGTGTTCTACTGACGTAAATCGTCATTTTATCTATGGGGCTGCGACAGAAACTGAGCAGCTGCTCAAATAATGTTGTCGAGAATCATGCTGTTGTACCTCTTTTGAGTAGCTGATCTGTTTTAACGGAAGCACCAAAGATAAAATGCATGCCGGGGAGTTCCTTCTTCGTAAAGCGGTGGCAAGCTGGTTGGTGTGAAGACGTTTAAATGTTTCAAACTCCTCCAACATTGGCAACATGATACGCGTAAAATTTGGACACCTTGATTTCTATGCTACAGATTACCATAATCATACGAACTGTCTTTCGCAGCATAGCAGTTTCACTTTTGAAGGTGCATTTTGTCTAATAATAAAAAAATCTTACGTGAAAATATTAATGAGTCTCCATATGTAATCTGCTTTTGGCTGTGCTTTTTCAATGCGTATCTGCTACAATTTAGTAAATTTACCAAACATTAATATAAATTTAGTATTGAAATAATATTTAATGAAATTAAAAATTACTAGTGAGAATTTAAGATTATAACCATAAAAATAATGCTGTTAGTGGATCTTTTTTTTACTTTTCTTTAATTTCTTCGTTCATTTTATGGTTGCAGCTTTGCCTTATTTATTATTTTGGTTTTTCAGGTTAACCATCAAAGCAACGTGCCCTATGTTATTGCAGAATTTTCCTATGGATAAACAGTCCTGTCCTCTAGTGTTTGGAAGCTGTAAGTCGCAAAATAATCTGAAATGACTCATTTGTGATCTTAGTCTAATATATGTTCTGTAGTAATTACATTATGTAGAGTAACGTATACAATCCTTGTTAATTCTATTCCATATATGTCGAGATCTGTATCGCAATTTAAGAAGATTTAAAAACAATGCCATTCTGTGATAGTTGTGACAATTCAAATATCATTTTTTTCATCCATTCGTATTTTCATCAGAATAAAAGCTTCTTTCCCTCATAAAATCCAGCATACTCTCAATGAAGTATGCTTTAAATATTTACCACAAGCCAGAAAGTACAATTTTTCATATTGTCTCTACTTTTGAACTATCTGCATAACGAGCATGAAAAATTAATAGCTTCAAGGGGCGTTCTGGAAAAAAAGTTACTTTTTCCTACTCTATCTTTCATTACAGATGGCTATACCTTGGATCATCTGATGTACCAATGGGATCCGAATGGTGCTGTTAGTCTGAATGAAGGTTTAGTTTTATCTCAATATGATCTAATTGATTTTCCAATGAAAAATGCAACTATTAGTGCTAAAACAGGTGAGTGTCAGACTCTTAGCATTTTGAGCGAGTCATCTAATTATTTTACTCCAAATGTTCTGGCGTATGTGACTAAGGTGGGAGGGTTATGTAAACAGAAGTTTGTTTACGAATTTTAAGTTTTATTAAATTCGTATTGAATATCGTAATGTTCACAATAAGTTAAATAAGAAAAGAATTTGTGCCACAATAATTAAAAATAGTGGCATTACAGCTGCTCGAAGTTAACTCCTTTTTTTTGCACGGTGCTGGATACAAATGGTTCTAAATATATAAAATCAGTAATTCAAACATTTTTCTTTTAAATATGATCTTGCGCAGATATTAGACCTAAATTCAAGAGAAAAATTCAGGACACAAAAAAGTTCGATTTATTCTTTTACACACAATTTGTTATAAACGGTATTTATTATTGTTTTTTCATGGTAATTTAGTTTCAAGATATCGTGAATACGTTTAAGAAAATCTGTGTAAAATTTGAAGTCTATTGAATTTTTTTATCTAAATTTCATCGCGCCCGAAAACAATGCGTCTTGATGAAAACGCGTTGAAAGTTTTCGATAGAAAAAAGTAGTTCTGAAGTCATGAGTAAGTGAACATACCGCTGTATTACCAGGGTCAAGTAATATGTCTTCCTGCTCTGCAAAATCGTTTCATTTAAGCCGTTAATTCCTACTTAAGAACTGCTCTGACATCTTCTCTTCTGCTTTGGCACCATGGAGACCTTGCTGTGGTGTGGTGTATTTAATTATAGCAAAGCACACTAGGGCTATCTGCCTAAGGGAAGGGATGACTTCGTGGAGGACGTTCTAAGGGAAACTGGATCGTATACACGTTACACATGGGGAAAACCACGAAAACACCCATGCAGCCAGCCCGTTCGCGGGATTCGAACTTCGGCCCGAACTGCCAGTGTTCAGCGACTTTACCGCTCGGCCGCTGGTGGGCCCATGGAGACTTTGATTGCTCCATGGGAACTTTTAAATCTCTAGTTTAATTTACAAATAAATTTTGTAAGAAATAAAAATAATCGTCAAAACTTCGAATCTACATGCTCCTCTCCCTTTAATATTGTCTTAAATCAGATAAAATTAGAAGTGCAGTTCTTTTCTTGTAATAAGTGTACAAAATACCTTTATACATTTTTAACTAACTTTTATAAATATTACGCCATTGTGATTAAACGAATATTAATCCTGTGCAGAAATCTGAAATCATTTCAAAAACTCAACAGTATGAAAGAGAAACTACGATAATGTTAGAATCATTTAAGATTGCGATCATGAGATGTGCTTGATAAGGGGTTTCTTAAGAAATTTCGACAGCTTTTTATCTGGAATCGAAATCACAAACATTGAAATCATGAACCAGTATACTAATTGTTACACCACAAGAGTATGTGGGGAAAATGCTCTTTTGTCTTTGCAAGATTTTACTTCTGATTTCAGATTTTTCTGGGAATATATCAGTTAAAGTATAGTGTTTAAAATTAAATGAATAATAAAAATTATAATATTTTACCCTTCATTTCAGTCAAAAGTTGTGCTTAAGGAAGGAAAAAATGAATTTAGGAAAAAAATATTTTGATTGTTTCACTATCCACGGATTGTAAGAACTCTATTCTAGTATGATTTACTTCTTTCAACAGTCATAAATTTTAAATCCCCTTCAATTAAGCAAATCAATTTCTTTTATTGTTTTCCATGGATACTGGTAAAATAAATGAACAGGAAATTATCTATTCATTTTGCGGGGGACCACACAAAAGTAAGAAATTTGTAAGTTCTGTCCCCCACAATTCGCAGTCTTCGAGCTGTTACAACGTGTGAGACAACATGCTCTAACATTGCAGAAGCAATAATTCATTCAGTAACGTCTACACTTGACATTACAAGAGTATAATTTCACGACCAGTGTCAAGAGATTTTAGTCACTTGCACTCTGTCATCAGATCCTCTCGATTTAACATTGCAGAAGCAATAATTCATTCAGTAACGTCTACACTTGACATTACAAGAGTATAATTTCACGACCAGTGTCAAGAGATTTTAGTCACTTGCACTCTGTCATCAGATCCTCTCGATTTCAGGGAGGCTGATGGACCAATGAGCCTGTTTCTCCTCTGACATAGTTTCAGCTTTAACGAATCACCGGACGTAAAGCATAACCAATAAATTAAGAAGGCGCGACTAATTCAGTCTGTAGATTGTTTCGGATATAGCAACAGATTGGATTGGATTATTTAATTATGGCAAAGCAAACGAGGGCTATCTGCATAAAGGGAGGGATGCCTTCGTGGAGGACTTTCTAAGGGAAACTGGCTCGTATACACGTTACACATGGGGAAAACCACGAAAACGCCCATGCAGCCAGCCCGTTCGCGGGATTCGAACCTCGGACCGAGCTACCAGTGTTCAGCGTCTTTACCGCTCGGCCGCGGGTGAGCCGGATATAGCAATAGATCAGAATTCTTTTAAACTATCTACTAGAAAGACTCTTGCCGATAGCAAATCCTCATATAATGAGGACTGCACGTACAATAATTGTTTCTATGGCTTCAATTTTGTTATGTGTTGTTAATAGAGTTTCTCATAGATTCATAATAAATATGTCTTAGTTCTATATGCTGTAAGTAATACGCAAGCTAGACAAATCTCAAACTAGTCAGTTACCAGTCCTTTTATGGAGCCACTCTATCAGCGCAGTGTAACCGTCACCACCCCAATTTTAATACAGTTTTAGAGAATTAGATTATAAGCATTTAAATAATCAGGTACTTAAGATTTTTTTCAACAGTGAAAGCTAGCTTTCTGTATGAATTAAAATTTTGATAGATAATGCATTATTTTCAAACGTTAATAGTGCATAAAATTCAGACAGAAATAAACCTTTTGTGTGCCTACGTGTGACATCAGTTTTAGATTTAACAGCCAACAGCAACAAAGAATGTAAAGATACCTAAAATAAAAGTAAAAGCTGATGTTAAATGAAGAGATACTGGCAAACATTCTTCGTACTATGTGTTGAAAATTTTTCAAATGCAATACTTCATTTGTATATATTTTATGAATAAATATGAAACAAGGAAATCTTTAAGCAACACTATTAAATTTATTTATAATTTGATTATTAATGGTATTAATTAAAATACAAAACTGCAACAGTAGTCTGATTTCCTTCAAACATTATTCCATTTTTTCAGGAATGTTTTCTGTTCTACAAGTGAATTTCAATTTACGTCGGCATATGGGTTACTTCCTAATCCAAGTTTATGTGCCATGTATTCTCATTGTTGTGCTATCTTGGGTATCATTCTGGATTAATCGTGAGGCCACAGCTGATCGAGTGGGTCTAGGTAAGTACCGAAGCGTTTATTCAAGATTTTAAAGTAAGGCTACGATGCGTTTGAGCATTTTAAACAGCTGAGTGCTCCAGGCTGCTACTTAAGCGCTCTGAAAAAGGATAAAGTTAAAATCAATATTCTTATGCAATTATACATTTTTCCTGTCTCTAAGTTATATGTGGAAACCTGAAACTGGAAAAGCACTTGTTTCTGCTTTGTTTTGGTAGAAAAATGTGTTTTTACACTGGTATCTTATGTGAATGACGTGAAAGAATTAAGGCTAAAATTAAAAAATAGTTATGTTAAAATCAATATTCTTATGCAATTATACATTTTTCCTGTCTCTAAGTTATATGTGGAAACCTGAAACTGGAAAAGCACTTGTTTCTGCTTTGTTTTGGTAGAAAAATGTGTTTTTACACTGGTATCTTATGTGAATGACGTGAAAGAATTAAGGCTAAAATTAAAAAATAGTTATGTGTAAAATCACTGTTTCTTAACACATATTAAAATTGTATTTAGTTTTAGAAATAAAATAACAGAGCAAATCAATAACTGTTTGAATAAGAATTGATTGTGGAATTTTAAACTTTTGAGAAGCAGGGAAATATTTTCTTTCGCAAAAGCATTTGCAAAATATGCTTTCCTAGTATGACAGTTACAAAAATGAAATTGTAAAAGACGTCTACATTAATCTTATAACAGTAATAATTCTTTCCTCATAAGCTCATTAAGAAAAGTATTCTCCATTGTATATTAAACTGATATTTTCTGAAATAACATGGATATCGAAAAAGAAATGTCACGCCCCATGTGAAAAAAATTTTACAACTCTGCTATAAAGACTATTTAATTATTACCGTAAAGCTTATGATATAATTTATTTAAAAGGTTACATACAGTTTCTTGGCATTATCACATTCCTCTGTTAATTGGGTTATTTTGTATGTATATCTGGCATAAATCGGCATACCTATTAAACTATTATTTGCAAAAAAAGAGCTTCATTCTTACTGAATGAAATTAGAAATGCTTAGATTTTACTACTGTAAAACATTTGTTTATTATTAAATATTTCTTATTTAAGTGTCGAAATTTGTTGAAACAAGCAAAATTTATCTAATTTCTGCTTCAGGTATATTTATCAAGCAAATGTTAGTGTGCACTACCAAGTAACTAATTAAAATTACTAGATCTTCAACAATGAATGAAAAGTTCATATAAAACATAAAAATACGTCACATACTAATAACCATTAGCTGCTTAAAATATATTGCTATATTTTCTGTTTCAAACAAGTTAATGTAAAATTAAATTTAGCCATCTATATTGCTATATTTTCTGTTTCAAACAAGTTAATGTAAAATTAAATTTAGCCATCTAATTCTCAATAATTTTGAATTAAAATTATGTAAATATCCGTATTATATGCCTCACAATATGTATTCAGAATATCTTACAGATTTGAGCTTAGAAAATTATTTTCTAATTATGGGAATCGTCTTTGAAGTTTTTATTGTGCTATCGTGGTTGCGTTTGAGACTAAATATACGCATGTCATAATGGAATGAAGAGGGATAAAATTTAAACTCATTTTCCTCTTTTCTTTTTAGGCATCACCACTGTCTTAACACTTTCAACCTTTGGCCTAGACACTAAAACAGATCTCCCAAAAGTCTCCTATCCCACAGCCTTGGACTGGTTTGTCATTATGTGTTTTACTTTTGTAATTGCTACGCTTCTCGAGTTTGCCGGTGTTCACTATTTTACGAAAATTGGGAGTGGAGAATTCCCTTGCGTGGGCTCGGGATCCGACACGGAAGAAGGGTTTTCAAGGGTCTTACAATCAGGTCCAACGACTGTTAGTGGCAGAGATATGGTAAAATTGTTTCAATTTTTTAATCATTGTAATCTTTCTTATCTTCGAAAAGTTGATAATAATGTTTTTTACATTATTCTAGATGTTATTTAGAAAAGCCAAATATGTAGTTTAATGCATCGTTAACACAACACTTAATTTATCTTCCTTTTTTTTAATTAATAAAGAATAAATCTTATATTTTGAACAAAAAGAAATTAAACCCATTTATCATATTGCAAATAAATGTTATTATAAATAGTATTTTAAATATATTATAATTATAGAAGATAAATGATACTGAGTATTCTGTAGTTATTCTAGTACATCTGTCCAAAAAGGTATGTATATTTAAGACGAAATAAAAAATATACCTTGTTAAAAAATTTTGCTGATTAATTGTGCTGAAAATTATTCAAAATATACCCATATGTAAACTTACTGATAGCAGAATTTTATTATTAGAAATTTATACCAATTAATTCCGAATGTAAGACTACCTGACACGTATGATGACCCTGAATGTTTTTATTCTTTAGGGAGAAAATAAAAACTTTATGTTTGAAAAGGGTCTCAGATAAAGGGTCAGGAAAAGGCTCTCGAGGAGTTTTTGTAATTATTTTTACCGCAAGCTGAAACAGAATAAACTTTTTACAGAAATATATTGGTTTAACTAGAAAACCCCTCATTCGGACAATTTTTCTACAACGACCTAATCTGAACAAACTGATGATTAGGTCTTCACGTAAGTAATGTGAAATTAAAAATTAGTTCGTTTCAAAAGAAGCGGAGAATGAAGAAGCATCAATTAATTATAAATCCCAGGCCGGTACATATATTTTTGTTATTTCTACTGTAGCTTAATTTTCCAGCATACCTGGTATTTCTCTAAACATTCAGTTTCTGATTTATTGATAAGATCAGTATTATAATCAATGTATCCCATATTCATTCATTGCACATTTAGCAAACTGGTATTTTTATCCCATGCTCGTTCTATTCTCAAATGAGGCCAAACATTTAGTTCCAGGGAGCAAATAAATCTGCATTGCAAGTACAGTATAATATACTGTTTTAATTCTTCCTACGAGAAATGTAGTCGGTCTCGAAAAGAGCGGATTTCTTTGGACTCGGCTTTTATTTTAAGATTTTTCTTCACACTTTTTATGGAAAAGAAGAAAAAATTGAAATAAAATCATAGATGTGAATGTTTGCTATGAGTCATTATGATTGAATGAAATTAGTTACAGCAAAAATATTGTTTGTGAAAGTTCAAAACATGTACTGATATAGGAAGGAACGCAATTATGTTCAGGGGGCAGGTATGTATACCTGACATCAAAAAACAGATTCCACCGAATAAATATTAATTTGTCTTTTTTCGTGTAATTCCTTAACTAAATAAATTAATATTGTAAAAAAAGAATTTCATCTTTGTTGTGCTTTAAATTCTCATCAACGCATTTATTTTCAAACTTTCTTAAATGTGAAACTTTTTCCAGAATTTCTGGCAAATTTTAGAGTCTCCATGAAAATGTTAAAAGCATTTCACTTCATATTTTAAAGAAAAATTAAGTAATGAGTGATTTATTATCTTAATTTTTAACATTATATTGTGCATGAGAAGAGTTTTAAGTGGGGAATATACTGTCCTGTATTTCAGCCAATGAGCTATTTGGGCAAGTTCGATGATTTATTTCTAATGCAAATTTATATTTTCTAGTTACACGCAAATGTACAAGCGGTACATCTGTAACTGTTCATATTTATTATTAAATTGCGCCTTTATACTCCTATACAGTTTTATTCTCATGGGGTAAAATAAATTTTCTCTCAGCATTTATATTTTATTTCTACCTATCGTATAAAACTTTTGAGTTTCACATTGAAACGTATTATTACTTATATAAACCTTTCCTTTTTATATGAAGTGAGTTAAAATGTTCACAAATAATATACATAACATACCTTTAGAGACCAATAAAAATTCTAAATAATAAAAAATAATAAAAAAAAGCGAAGATGAGGTTTAATTACCTTATCAAATCAGTAACAGTATCACATCGTAATAATGTGTAAACACTTTGTCCGAATTGTAATTAATGTCAGTTTTATTTAGTATGAGACTTAACATTAGTTAGTGTGGAAATTGCAATTAATGTTAAACCTAATTTAGAGTGCAAGTTTCATCTAAATTACAAGTATGTTTGTAATAAGTTTTAAATCGTTTATCTGAAAATATTACATGCTTCATTTTAAGAATACTATCGTCAAAGATCAGATTATTGCAAAGTATTAAGAAAGAAATTGCTGGATGGTTTCGTCCATATAATCAGAAAAGCTTCTTTTGTAACGCATCATAAGAAATACTAAATGAAAATATAAATTGTATTCTGAAAATAAAACACTCAAATTTAATGCTGAGTTCCTTACGTTTCCAAAATATATATTATGGCAGGCAAGAAAACTTTATATTTCCTTCCTTTACCTTCATATTTTAAAAAATTGAAATTTCTCATCTTCATTTAAATTTACTAACAAGGCCTAAAAAATGGAGCAATTTACTTTCACATATAATTTTCCAAAGGATAAACAAATACTTAGCCTAGTAATTTCATTTACGGATCATGGGGTAGTTAAACAGCATTTTGTTTCAATGCAGGACTGTGTAAAGAAACAGTTATTTTGCTTAAGCGATGTGTTAAATTTAATATAATGCAGAAATTACGACTGAGAATTAGAATGTTACCCATACAAACTTGCAAAATTTTATGTCATAGTAAATATATTTTTTTCCTTTTCAAATCATCATTTATTGCATGTGGTTTTGCATTTCTACGCGGGACATGCATGTAGTTCTGTATTTATATACTTTGCTTATTTTAAATGTTCCGTACTTTGTACCTTTATTTGACAGGTTACATACCCTAGTCCTATTCTGAGATCTTCCAAAAGAAGGCGACCTTCTGGACATTTGCCTAGCTGTCGGGATCTAAGGATTTGCTGCATTCAGTTCTGGAACTGCATACTGGCAAGTGAAGACTACAAAGCTGCAATGAGACGGCGGGTAGCGCCAGATGCTGTCAACAGTGTCAGCAAAATTGATGAAATATCTCGCATTTTATTCCCTTGCTGCTTCGTGGCGTTGAATTTATTTTATTGGTTTCTGTACGGAAGTAAACATCAGTCATCTACGTGGGAAAATATATAAATAGGATATAATTTAACTGTGGCATTATTAGCATCTAGATTTGCAAATTTCGAAAACGTGTTCATTTACATTTTTTTACTTATGCATGAATGTAAAATGGGCTTTTTATAATTACCAGATAAGCAAACAATAATTTTATGTATTATGCTAACTACAGATAAATTTCGAAACATTCTTTGTAATTTATAGAGCTTCTTTAAAGTATTTTTATGTGATTTTTAAAATTATGTACTATCTTTTAACTAATTGAACATTTGATTAATTATCGTTTCTATCTGTAAAGTCGGCTTTATCTTTATGCTTTAGTTTCTATAGCATGGTACTAGTCAGCATAATTTGTGTAATAAGCTGGCTCATTTCCATTTTCCACAAAAAGATTTTCCTTAAATAAATATTCCATGTATTTAAGAGGCAGATAAATATACTGTTATCAATATGTTCTGTTACAGTTACATTTTCATATAATTTTTGATTAAATTTAATACCTAGTACATTCAGTAAAAAAATTGAGAGAAATTATTGATAGAAACTGATAAAATGAATATTGAGAGAAATTGATAAATTGAATATTTAAATAATTCGCCCCTCCCATTTTTAAAATTCAGCCAAATGTTAACTATTTAAGTGAATTTAAACATGTATGAAAAATTTAGTTTTCATTTCTTGAATCCTAAAATTATTTAAATTTCTTTCCTGTTAAAAATTCTTGAAATGATTTAAGAGCTTTTTAAATTGATACCAGTGTTAATATGGGAATTAACTGCTTCTAATATCCAGGTACTAATTTCATAGTACTTTTTAGATGGAAACCCTAATTCACTTTTCATCCCCATTTCGTTGTTCAGTCTTTAAATGTTTAAATGCCTTTTCTTTGGCGATAGTAAAATCCAAATGATATCTTAATTTACAACCTCAGAAAGAAAAAAAAATATAAGAATATTTCCACTATCTAGATGGCTATGTTTACTTTAGAGATTTTAACTTATTTTATTTGAATTTAACTGTTAGCAAGTTCCCTGCAGAAAATTAACTTCTTTTATTACTAATAAATAAATAAATAAATAAAATAAATCCCATTTTGAGAAAACATTGATGTTAATAATCCCTTTGCTATAAATCATTTATGTTTCCTTTTACTGAAATGAAGATAGAGCCATTATCTGAAAACAGAATGTAAATTTATCAACGATAAACTTAAAATAAAAATTTTAAAATTTTGATGAATAGGATAAAGCTTTTTCACATATATGCATGCAATTTTTGGGCAGTAAAATGTTGTTATATAGACTTCTGTTTATTTCCGAAAAATGCTTAAGTTTTTTATATTTCAGAATATTAAATTTCATTTGTATTGACTGCTATGTGTTATAACTATGTCCCAATAAAATATTTTTGTTAGATGAATATTTTTCTTGTTGCAAAACTTTCAGCGAAATTATTAAAACATCTGGTGGATTTCTATAAGGCATGAATATCATTTCGGAGAACTGAATCATAGCAGATAACAAAGTAAAACAGTTTTCCGTCACATGATTTCTGAAAAATTCGTTTCTAATTGTGTAGAAAAGGTGATACTCTGTAGGCTAGTATAAATAATCTCATTCATTTAGAAATTAACTGCAAAACTGAATATTTTGGTACCAAGGGTTTCTTTTACATAGAAACAACCGAATTCATTTAAAGAATTGTCATGACATTTAGATTGGGACATTGAAAGTAATTTATTACTGAATTACGAAGTGTTCCCTACTAAAATTATTAGCTTTTTCGTAAAGAACATAATGCATAATAAATTATTCAGTGAAAGGTATTTTTCCCTTTAAACCAAAATTGTTCTGATAATAACATTTTATTAATCTGAATGTCAGTTACTTTACAAAGCTTTTACTTGGTTCTGTTTCAGCCAGGAACTCATTTTTAAGTCATCATTTTTTTGTTTGAATTATTAAGTAATAACTTAAATTGCGAACTGTACTGTTTTGACAAATATGCAACCTAGCTTTTTCCTTAGATGGAAATTTTAAAAAATTCAACAAACTTGAATTAAGGAATTACACTCTAAGTTCAACAGTACTTGTTCTTTACAACAAGTTTCCACCTGTCTTACAATATTTTTTCTTACTAAGTGCCATAATTAAAGGCAGAAATATCAATACCACTGTGAAATCCTGTGGTATTTAAATTCACGATATGTTTATGATGAAGGAAAAAGAAATATGATTAATTATTTAAATAACCTGAAAATTCATATTTACTTAAATCTTTGGGTATTTGCAGTAATAAGCTTCGAGGTTATTGGTGCATTTAGATTAAAACATTTTGTTATTATTTTGAGTTTAACTGCATCGCTGTGGGTTTGGATTTTTATATCTAGAAATACATCACTCTAGGTTAACTATGGTAGAAAAATAATTTTTCTTTCAAAACACTTTCAACTAATTTTATTTTATTTAATAATTGCCTTAATATCTTGCTGTATACGTTTACTAAAATAATGAAAAATTGAATTTCTTATATGACATATATTTGTTCGGATAAACACAATCTTCCCTTGGGCCATGCAAGATACAAAACCAGGCCTACTAAATTAAGTCAAAAAGAAAAAAATGAAGAAATAATCGTAAAACCAGTCTAGATTACAAGCTTAGCACAAGAGACATACGAACAAGATATTAAGTAATAAAAACAAACTACTTCATTTGCCAAGAGTTTACAAATCTCCAAAATTGTTAAAAAGACATGCCGTGGGTGAACCAAAAGCAGGGAAGCAGAAAAGGAAATGTTCCACATTCTCTGAGTGTGTAATTTTTAGAGCACTCACGCAAATCATTTGGGTGAAGGTTAAATCTGCGAAAATGCTTAGCAGAATTTACATGCAGCGGAATAATAATAAACAGCGGAATTTAAAATTTATTAAAAAGGAAATTTGAGCCTGTGATTAATGAAAAAAGAAATCCTTATGTAGGGCATACTCTGAATACAAAGAAAAGCTTATTAAGCTTAATCATTACTAAAAAAAGATACAACCGAAGCTTATATTAAGCTATATCTAGACATCTCCTCGAATGTGCATATTTTAAAGATGGAAATCTTAAGAAAATATGTTTTAAATTATTTTTAATCCAAATATCTCATTTTTATTGTCGAATGCAATTATATGGATTCCCAATTTCTCAGTACATTACTTTATTAATGAACAAGGAAATTCCATATACAGATAACTTAGCATAAATGAGATTATAGCGAGGTAATAAGATTTTCATTAATATGTCCCACCGTATCGCTACGTTTTAATGTGAATGCAATGTTTCTTCCCTTCGATAATCTTTATTTAGCTGTGCGTTTCTCTTTTACAATCTGTCAGAAAACAATCGAAGAGCTTTTCTTAGCTATACAATGCATTCATTAAATTCAAATAATTTTAATTAACATATTTTAATTTTACTGGATTTTATTTTGTTGTTACCCTTAAATGGAAGAATGTCAGACTTCATTAACCTTTATTAAGTTTGTATATTTAAGAAGTGAATCACGAAATTCATCGACCATTGGATTTTCAGTTATTGAATGCCTTGAAATGAGTTATTATACATAATTTCTTTCTTTTTTGATATTTGCATCAAAACTTTTAAGGACAGCAGTCGTATGCTTATTTTTAGAACTGAGCTTTTGGAAATTGAAATTTGGTTTTATTAGCCATAGAAATGCATTCCATAAACTTTTAATTCGGTTAAATTTTGAATTAAATAAAATGCCTGAAATAATTATATTTTCAAAGAAACAGTAACTGCTATGAACTCCTATTTAACATCTTATTTGAATAGATGATAATTTCGAAACAAAGTTAAAACTATTATAAATTGTAAACCTATTTGACAAAATGTTAAACTTCGATTTAAATTAAATAATTAATAATATTTTTTCACTTTTGATTTACAGCTCTGAAAATTACTGTTAAAAATATGTGAAAATTACTATTTAAAAAATCAAACTATTAAAAGTGTCGTGCGTCATAGCAAAATAGTAACATATAAAGAAGTGTACATTTGCTATAAAATTCAGAAAAATTTTCATAGTAAATATAAATTTTAACTACAGTGCAACAAAAGTTGAATCCATAATCGAAAAAAAATCTCCACCTTTAAAAATTTTAAGTTATTCAGCTAGTGAGTTAAGCAAAAAAAAAAAAAAAAAAAAAAAAAAAAAAAAAAAAAACATTGAATTCGCTTATCTATATTCGTTATTTATATTCGATATAGCGGCATAAGGTCTGCCAAGACATTCAGGGCTGAGCTGGAGGTGGTTCGAAAGCCACGCGTGATATTTAGTATGAACTGTCGCAGTATGGATGTCAGCAATCTCATTTTTCTTTCGTCATCGGCAGGACCCACATCACAGCTCCATAAGTGATTATGTTTGTGATGGCACGGCTTTATATAGGAGCTTGATGATGTAAAGGTTCAATCTTCACTTATATCCTTACATCCTGCGTAGCATTGTAGGTGCGCCTAATTTGTATATATTTTAATTTTTAACATTTCATGATAAAGATGGAGTCTGGTTGATGGACATACGAAATGGAATCCGTTGGATATGTTAGGGAGTTTTCAATTTTCTGCGTTTAGAACGTTTTTTGTATTTCAGTTTGCGATGGTCAAGTTTCAAAGACTTTCGCCCCCCCCCCAAGTTTAAGAAAGTCCCGCCAAGCTTATTCTTAACATACAGATAAAAAGAATTTAACTTCCGCTCATTAGAAAGTTAATGTATTGTCATTAATGGTAGTTATCCATACGCATGGTTTCAGTATTTAATTTAAGTTTATAGAAGATAACTGTGCATTGTAATTAATATGTTATAAAATAATGTAAAAGCTACAAAATTTCAAATGTGACTATTTCGAATGGATCAGCCTAAGTCAAGTAAGTTAACTTTTACAGAGTTTTACGTGGCATAAGTGCTCCATTCATGTAGAGAAGACTAACAGCTACAGTAATTTAAACCATATTCTTGGAACTGATTGCTACCTATACATTAAGAAAATAAATTCGAGTTCTACTTACTACCTTTCTAATTTGTATAAATTATTATTTTTCGTGTTTATAAAGCGTCATCTCTTTCATTTGTAACGCCAAATGAAAGAACGATAAAATGACACTAAGACTTTCCCAGAAATCTTTTAAACATGTATGTAAATCACAAAATAGTTCCTAATAACTGATTAATGCAGGCGAACTCAAATCGAATCCTATACAGAAGTAACTTTTCCTCATTCTTGCTACAAGAAAATTTAAGATAAAAATTATTCAGGCCTATAATTCGACAAATTTTGCCTAAAATTTAATGTGTTTGGCCGCTTTGAAGAAGAGTCATTTCAGTCTCCTTAAAAACGCACAGGATTTCTTTATAAAGGCGTCGTCAATTTAAGGTTGAATTCTGCTTAATTATAAATGTTTAACTGACGTCTTTCATCTTTATAACCCAGAGTGTTTCAGAGAGAACGTAATAGTCTCTAACGTAATAGACCTATAATTCCAATTTAAGAAATAAATTAAATAAAGTGGGTCATTTTTCAAATACACTGTACGATCAATTTGATCCTTTAACATCATTTGTAAAAATATATGAAATTGAAATTTTTGCTCAGGTTGCGCAGAAAAAAATTTCAGTTAGTAAATTGCTTCTTATAACTAGATTAGTCAAAAACTTTCCTTCTTTGTGCAGTCAAAATTTTCGAGATATAAATTAAAAATTCTGGGGTTCATATATAATTACTGCTAAAAGCATGATAAGTTTTTATGTTCATTTTTAAACAATAACCTTAAATAGAATAATAGCGTTTCTCCCTGCATTTTTGCGTAGTGTAACAGGCATCATACTTGCCTAGCAATCGGAAGATCCACGATTTGAATCCTGGAAAGGGCAAAGTTGATTTCACAGTTCGAACTCCGAGGAAAATCTAATGACTCTACATTAGCGTCCGACTAAAAAGCAGTAGATCATAATTCGTCACTATCTGGATTTGACTGATTAGCTTTCACTTCTCTCTCCCTAATGACCCTTTAAGTTGGTGAGAATATAAGGAATTATATTTCACCTTCCATGCTCTCGAGATGTAACAGCTAGCATCCGGCTAGCAGACAGAAGATTCGTGGTTCAAATTTTAGACAAGTTTCTTACTCCGAGAACAATTCAAATGTCTATCCTGTAATAGTTTATTTACCAAACATAGAACTGCTAATTGTGTAGAACAATGAAAAAATGTTTATGAAGCTGCAAAAAATTTTAGTCGAAATTTATACCAGAATTTGATACCATACCTGCTCCAAAAGAAAATTTAATTTATAGGTTTCATATAAATTTAATTTGTATTTGAGTCAGGAAAAGTTTACAGCAATGTATGTTAG